AAGTTACAAAATAACATTTATATTCTAAATACGAAGGATTCTATAATGAGTGTGGAAATTTTAAGGTATAAATGCGATAATCTAATTATTACCGAAATCTGACATGACAGACTTTGTCATATAGATGAAAAGTAATTCCAAAGTTACATAGAGATGTATACTTGGGATTAATTGATTTTGACAAGTACAAATTATGAATGTTTGGCACAATGACCAAATCTTCTTTTACTTGAAAAGAAGAAAGGTTAGCATAATTAGTAGTATAATGCATAGTGATGCATATGGACTCATGTCAATTAATGTCAGGTAATGTTTCTCTTATTTCATCAATGATCATGTATACTTGATGAAAACTCAAACATGAAACTCTTGAAAAGTTCAAGGGATTCAAACTAGAAGTAGAGAAACAAATAGGTAAAGACACCCTCACATTAAGATTCGATCAAGTGAGAGTATTTTAAAGATAAAATCTAGATTATCTAAGAGAGAATGAGATTCTCTTGCAGTGGACTCCTCCACATACACTGCAACATAGTGGTGTATCTAAATGGAGGAATCGTTAACTATTAGATATAATGCGATTAATAACAAGCCATGCAAATCTCTCAAAATTGTTTTGGGGTCATGCTTTGATTGCAGTATGCAACACACTAAATCATATCCCGTCTAAATTGGTTAACAGAACTCCATACGAGTTATGGAAATGCAATAGTCCCAATTTGTCTTATATGAAAGTTTGGAGCCATGATGCTTATTTGAAACGCCTTGAATCGGATAAGTTTGACACTAAATCTGATAAATACGTATTTGTGGAGATATTCAAAACTGACATTTGAATATAAATTATATTATCATGAAGAAAGTCTTCGTCTCATGACATATCGTCTTCTTAAAAAAAATGTTTACTCTAAGGGAGGACAGTGGGAGCAAAATAATACTTGAAAGAGTTCAAGAGCCCATAAATATAGTTAACCAAGTAGATGAATTCGAGTTTGATCTCATATTTGATATGGGACATACTCTTGATCAGGAAGTAAAGACTCCTGAGGACATTTCAGCTCTATGTGAATCTAGTATGATCATTCGACTTTCAAGAAAGTGCGAATCCATGATTACGAATCAGGTATTACTAATCCAAGATAATGAACATGCTAGTTGCAACAAAATAAAGTCAAGTGTTGACTTAAAAGAGATAACAAGAGGCCATGAAATTCGAGATGAACTCGACGTATGTGAACAAGATTTGGACCTTGGTCAAGCTTCCTGATGGAATAAAACCCATAAGTTTTTGTAAATAGTTTACAAGGAAAAAGTCGATATAGATGGGAATATCCATATATACAAAGCAAGGCTAGAAGCAAAGGTTAAGTGTTGACCTTGGTGAAACCTTTCTCCTGTAGCCCTGCTGAAGTTCATTCGGGTTTTTGCTTGTAACAGTTGCATACCGTGACTATAGGTTAAGAGAAGTCTTTTGGAGTTGAAATCTTAAATTTGATAAAAAAAAAAAAATCAAAGTGTTTGATTTTATCAAATTTGAAGACGAATTGTGTGTTTATAAAAAGATAGTGGGAGCATTGTCATATTCCTAATATTATAGAAAACGATATCCCTATGTTTCAATCGTTGAAATAATTGTTGTTAAAGGATTCATCCATGAACGAAATGGGAGAAGCAACTTGATCTATAGAGATAGATCTAGAAAATTGCCTAACTCGTCCCAATTTACATAGATGAAATCTTGAGAAGATTTCATATGGAGAAACTAGTTTACTCTTAAGCGGCATGTTGGAAATGTTCCAAACGTGAAGCAATCGTTGATTCAATAGTAGAAATCTAATACATGATTACTTCAGAAGTAACAAAGAGTTGAAATCTGGATCATAATGTTCATAAATGAACTTGGAGTAGTTCCTGATATTGTTGATCACATGCCATTGTATTGTGATAACAATAGAGTCATTGCGAAAGCGAAGGAACTAAGGTCTCATCAATGATCCAAACATGTATTAAGGCGGTATAATCTCATCAGAGAGATAATACATAGAAATGATGTAAAGAGAAGAACAAATTTCCACATTTAACAATATTGCAGATCCACTGACAAAGAGTTGTCGTAGCATAAATATTATCGTCATGTAGACTTATGATATTGGATACATAAGTGATTGGATCTAGTGCAAGTGGGAGTTTGTAAGTATTATGCCCTAGATCCAATCAACTTTGAACATAAATACTTTTGATATATAATTAATACAATTTAATGGCAGATCTATTATTTAATTAATAGACAATTAAATAATTAAAAGAGTCCTTAGATTCAAATTTTTGTAATTTGTTAATCATAAGGAGTTGTAATTGTGAGATACAAATTACATATGATTGAATCTTAACTTGTCCGTGATCTTAAGTAATAACGAGATACGGATATCGTTATTACGGATAGACCATCACGTGTGGCATTTCTTACTTTTGAAGTAAATAGCTGATTTCACAAGCTAAAGTGTGGTGACACTTAAATGAACACGTGGATGTTTTATTATAGAACAAAACATTGGAGACCCGCCGAGAGATTCCACATAAATAACTATCTGAGTATCAGTGGTTAATCTCTAACGTTCAGTAGTGGAATTGGTCTTTTGACTTGAGGTCGTCATGGTACCTTATATAAGGACAGTCATACTTTGACATTGTTGGATGTTGCTCTGCAAAGGGCCGCTAATACGACATCGTTCGGGTACGTCAAGAATCGTATGAAGGTTGTGATTGATCAATAAAGGATTCGTCACTCTTAGATAGTAGGAGATTATGATCTACATTTCATTCAATTAAGTCGATGATGAAATCCTTGGTCAAAGTGTACTCATAAAGAAGTTTTCGACTTATATTGACTTAATAGTGGAGTGAAAGATATGATCGATAATCGAGATTGACACACTTCCATATCTCGTAATTGATCGAATTATATTGACGAAGGGATTATAGTTTCATGGTAAACGAATAAATTTGGTTTTGTCATACTACATGACATTTCTCATCACATGTATTGCCCTGACACATTACTAGATGTCAATCTGTGGCGGCGAGTGTGAACTGACGATAAATTAAAATGGTGTTTTAATTTATCAATTTTGATTAGATCAAAATAATATTTCACGTCGTTAGGTATCGTGATCGGAAACCTGATGGGTCACATAAAAAAGAGAATTGAAAGTTTGCAATTTGTCAATTAATTAATTTAACAATTAAATTCATTAATTGGATTGGTTATTTATAGGCTCGAATTAATTAATTGGATTAATTAATTAACCGACCGAATTTAATTAAATGGATTAATTAAATATTGGACCGGACCAGACCCGTTTAGGTTTATATAAATACATGGCTAGGGTTTTCAATCCATATGATTTTTCTCATAATTATTCTTGCTAGCACAATAAAAGAAAACTCTGGTAGCTACAATCTTGTTCTCTGTGTGGAATATCGTTGGGGGCTGGACAATTGGACAGCTGTGGGTGGCGAATCAAGATTGCTGGAATGAAAAGAAAAGCAAAGGGTTTGCAGAATTTTTTAAAGGTACAATCTTTATCACGATTTCTATCTAAACACAAAGGGATTCTCGGTGGAAATCGAAAAAATTTTAATTTTTCACTGTGCATGTATAAGTAGATTCCTAACAAATGTGACCCATGGAATGCACACTTAGCATAATTCTTGTTATTTATATCTCGTCATTATTTTCTTTCCTTCAATCATTATCATATTCGTTTCCTTTCTCAAGAAAAGGAGATATGTACTTTTTGTGATGATTCTCCTCGTATGGTCAATCGAGGTATACCGAGCATATCATGCAAGGGCTTGGATTACATATATTTTTTAACATGATTGACTTTTTAAGATGCAGCTAGAGTGCTTAATATATGTTACAGGGTCCAAAAGAAAGTTTAAACAATTATTTCAAATTCGCTTGAAATTCAAACGAGAAATTGAATTTCAAAATTAATGTTCTCAAATGAACCGTCGTTCATAACTTTTTAAATAATACTTGAATGTCTCTAATATGCACATAAGGAATTCGAGAAATTCAACATAACTCACCATTCTTGACACCTTCTAAAAATAAAGAAAACTGGTCTTTCTCATGAAGACCGTTCAAAAATTCTGTTAAAACTGCCTTGTTACTCACAGGCGATAAAAACTCAAAATATTCAACAACTTCCATAGGTGCTATAGATATTGTTCGAACCTTTGCACTATAGTGTTCAAATTTTCTACATAAAGAATTTTGGTTTGTGTTTTTTAAAATGTATAAAACTCTAATACAATATACACCCATGCACGTTAAAATGTATGCATTCTTCTCCTAAGCCATTAGTTGTAGGTGCTTTCCGGAGGTGGAATTTTCTAATTCTTTCTGTTTGGCCTAAAATAGATTGATCTAGCCATGAGCAAATTGAAGAGCACTCTAACAAGCCCCTCGAGGACCGAACCCACTTATGTGGCATACGAAATCAAAGAGAAAAAGCTCTTCTTTTCCACTTCTTGAATGTTAGTCTTCACTATTTCTTTTTAAGAACAAAAAAAAAAAAAAAAATTGTGCCAAAATAACCGATGTCAAGAAGAACAAAAGATTTTGAACCCAGAATGAATCTTAATATCTCCACATAGCAGATTAACCGTGCTTTTATACCACCTAGAACAAGAAAACCAAATCCCAAGTTTTTTTTTTTTTTTTTACGTTAAATTTGAAACTAAAACAAGAAAAATTAGAATTTTTGCTTAATCTTTTTATCTAACACCAAACAAAATATAATAGCACTACACCTCAATCCACCTTATAAGTGTCTACTATAGTTTAGTCCACCTGCATACAGTACTGTATGCTAAATGCAGCATACTAATTACAGATTGTCCTTGAAGCTTTAGTCATCATTCGCCTTCGCGACTTTTTTTTTTGATGATTTTTTTATAGGCAATACTAGACCAAAACTAGATAGTAAACGAACAGGATTTTAACATTGTCGAGCATTATCTAATCCTACCAAACAAATATTGCCTGAACAAACTGATAGGAAAATATAAAAGCAAAAATCAATTCAAGGGTCTTAGTCTTTGTACTCAGTACTCGGACTGATGGAAGTGAGTTTCTAATCCAGAATAGTCGTCCCCCTCAAAAATAATGTGCGTTAACTTGGACGAATCCATCGCTCTAGTCTAAGCTGCTTCAAAGGAGGCCCAAGCTCTGGTTTGCTCTTCTGAGGACAACGCCATTTTCCTCTACTTTCTATTGCATTAGCATACTGTTGAAAATTTGTAGTCTCACACAGAACCTTTCTTGTTGTCTTAGAATCCTCATTCTGGTTCGATGAAATCGTTACCCCATTTCTCAAAGATTTTGGTGGGATTCTATGTGGCCTTTCAATATTCTCACTGTTCACTTCTCTGCTTTTGCTCTTTCTCGTTGAAATGAAACCATTTTCTGCTAACTCAGTTCCCTCAATATTTTCTTTTTCATTCCTTCTTTCAGCCAGCTTTTTCATGGATTTTTGTTCAAGTATAGTCAAACTCAAGTTGCTAGGTTGCACACTTTCACAGTCCACTTGAATATGTTTCTCTTTAGGGCTGATTTCAGTGTAATCCTTCCTCTCAATCAACTTCTGAAGAGATTTTCCATCCTGATTTTCAGAACTTAATTTCGTGTCCGAACTTTGGCAATCTGACTTTCCACTATAATCTCCATCATCTTTGGATTTTCTACTTTCTTCCATTAAACCTTTATCATGATCATGCTGTCTCTTTGGTGGCGAGATTTCTTGAGGTATCCTTCCAGAAGTCAAGTCATTCAGTACAGATAAGCTTAGCGTCCCCGCAGCTTCGCAGCTATCCTGCAAGTTACATACAATTATTGGCTTCGTTCCTTGGAAATAGTGGTTGGTGAAGTAAATATACTGGTATATGTGATAGGCGCAATAAACAGTAAAACCAAAACATCTTGAGCAATTAAGTCGGTTTTTTTTTTTTTTTCAAAAGTTATATCAAGAAAGAGCTGTTAATAGTTTTCTAACTGCTGAATAATCAATGAGATGCCAGTTATTTGAAGCTCCAATTACAATTAAAAAATTACAATATTCTATTCCTAATAAATTTGGAGTTAGCTACAACTACAAATCAAGGTTGTGTATAATAATTACTGAGATGCCAGTTGTTTGAATCTGCTTAATCCATTGTCACTAAAAGCTTGTCCTGATGTTCAATGAATTAAATCTTTTAAAACCAAATGACATTCTTAGGAGATTAGACTATTGATTATATCTTGTCTAATACTTTCGGACTCAAAATGTACCCTCATCTCCTACTCATCGGTTGAGACAATCCAGTGTCCATTAAGTACACAAAATGTCAGCAGAGAATCAGAATATCCTATTCACTATCTAACTGCAGGTTCACTGCTCGTGTTTTGGAAGGCAGACAAAGTAAAAATATTTACGTTTTGGAAGACCGCAGTTTTAGTTTTGAAAACAGAATAAATATTAGCCTACACAATTTGAAATTTGAAATTTACTGTAGAACTTCATAATTACTTGAACAATCAACTGCTTATTGTCACTTAGCAAAGAAGAGAACCGAGTTTGCATAAAGAAGAGAAAGGACGAAGAATACCTCACTGATAGGTTGCTGGTCATGCTCTTCCTCTTTAACCAAGCTGTTGCATTTAACAGTTACAGCAGATATTCGTCTCTGATTTAACAAATCACTTGAGTTTCCAACTTCAGTGGAATCCCTAGATTTATCTTCCATTTTGCTGTTGTCTATTTCAGCCACATATACCTTTCCTTTAACTTCCCTTTCTTTAAAATCAGAAACAGTAAAACTAGCATCATTACTCAGCGGGGATTCATACACATAGCTCGAGAACCAATTCTTAATGCCCAGAGGCTCTGCGTGAACCAATAAAGGGACACATGAGCATTCTCAATGATGCCAATCTATGTTATTTTCAGTTGGTCAAAATAGTGAAAAAAATAATAATAAAAAAAATAAAAATAAATCAAATTGGAACCTCAGAGGGCCATTTCAAATCAAATCCTTGATCCATGCACAAGATTTCAAATTCTTGTTTTCATATTTCCTGGTTTCTTTTTGCCATGTTGGGTACTTCAAAAAATGGTAAATGTGAAGAAAAGGATAGCATACCTAAAGAAAATGGGTGTGTATCTGAAGATTCCATGATCTACAAACAAAAATTATAGTTAGAGATAAAATTAGGGATAAAAAATATCTCATTGTTAAACAAATACCCTTACCCATGCTCTACAAAATTAAGGAAAACATTCAATTCAGAGCAACATGTGAATATTGGCAACAATTCTTGCCAATGAAACAGTATAGTATTGCAAGGGACTAGATATTATATTAATCAACTCCTTGAGGAGAATCCCATAGTTACTACCTACCCAACTTTCATAATATTTATCTAGAATATACTTTCGTTTTAGTTTCTTCTTAGATACTTACATCAAATTCATGGCTCTGCTTTCCTCGGCTTATTTGCCTCCACCATTCGCAGAGTCTAGAATGTTATTTTGGACACTAATGTGAAGGCTTGCTCTTCCTATAAAATCATTCTTGTTGTCTTAATCTTAGTATCCAAAGACTTGAACTTATTTTTGTTTAGAATTTTCCAATCTTCCTCTAAGTAACTTTTGCCTCCATCCCTCTTGTTTTACTATTGGATTTTTATTGGTCTTATGAATGATAAAACGTATTAAAGAGCATCTTTTTCAACATGAAGAGCATATTAATGAATATTTAAAAATAAAGAGTGGAACTTTTTACACAGTCTAACACCATTTTATATTTACTCTTCATTTTAATTTTTCCATAAGCAACTATGGTTTGACCTTGTCCCTCCTTTTTTTAATTTTTTTTAGCTAACTTTCCTCCTTTTTATGGTATCATTTCTCCCGATTTTGAAAGAGATGCATGAAAAGTTGTGAAATAATAAATGAAAGAACTAAAAGTATTTAATAGTGAAAGCCAAATCCACTCTATTTTATATTTTACATAGAGAGAGTTTGTTAGACTCCCAACAAAAGTGACCACTCTCTAAAATAAAGAGAATGAGGCTAAAGAGAAGCTTTCGAAGATGCTCTAATATTGCTAAAAGGTCAGAAATTTTATTAAAAACAATGACTTAGTTGTCATTCCCAAAATTTTCACTCTTCCATTTCCAAAATAATAATACCATGAACTGAAACAATGATCTTTGAATAGTTGCGGAACTATTTTGTCCGAATAATTCTAGACAGGCAGGGCCAGGACCGACATTGCCCTGTCCATCTAGCACAACTCATTTTGTCCTCCCTAGTTGATGGAATGAGGACATTATTCTGTAAGCATGAACATCTTCGTGAATTCTATAATGATACAAGGTGAAAGAGAATTCTTCTAGAGAAAACAAGAAAGGCATGTAAGTTAGTAGAGTAATTTTTCCTCTGATAACGAACTCTAGTGTTGTCGTCAATCAATGATGGTATCATCTGGTGTAGGCCCTCTCCTTTCTCATTTATAGACTTTGGCCGGTGTTGCACTAAATTTTAGTATGATCTCTCAAGCGCTCTTTAAATTGAATGGCGATATTGAAGCTTTACGAATCAGATTAGAATGAAAATCAGTAATAATCATTAGTCGTTATGCCACTGGCATAAATTGCTGATTACTTTAGCTTTATCCACATAATCCACTCTAACAAGGAAATCCAAATGAAGGAAATTTTCTTTTCATTCCATCATAGCACATTAATGAAGGAAAAGAAGTCATTTCAATTACCTCTGCCGCAGACTTAAAATCAGCAAATCCGATGGGGTCATTTCTCTTTGCAAAAGCATATGAAGATCCCTTCTCTCCGGCAATAAAAGTAGGATTACGTTTACCATCCGTTCCATTTTCACCCAAGTTGTTGTCTTTTTTATTTGCAGAATCATCTACTTTGAGTCCGTCACAGTCTTTGAAAACATCCAAAGTATTCAATTCCAGAGATTCATATACATAACTGGAGTACCAATTTTGAATACCAGGCGGCTCTATGAAGAGGGAAATAAAGAAAAATTAACCGTAAACTGCATTAGAATGAATACATGGAATATAAAGAGCTCAGATCAGAAATTGTACGAACCAGAAGGAAGGGAAGCCGGGCCTAGAGAATGTAAAACCTTCAAATAAAAAGAGGAAGAAAATTGTAATAAAAGATGAGATTTAGCTTCTAATAATACTAGTAAGCAAATTTGTCAAAAATCATCTATGTGTCTAGCCAGGCAGAGTTTGCGTATAATCATGCTAGAAATAGAAGCACCGGTTTCAGTCCGTTCCAAGTTGTGTTTATTATTCTGCCCCGCAGCCCTATTGATTTATTGACTCTGCCCTCTAAGACTCGGCTGCATGGGACAGCTGGTGACTTTGTTCGTAGTTTGCAACAAGTTCACGAGGAAACACGAGCTAATCTGCTAGAGTCCAACCGTAAGTATAAAGAGGCGGTTGATCGACATCGACGTCCTGTTGAGTTTGACGTTGGGGATTATGTTTGGGCGGTACTGACTATGGATCGAGTGCCATCTCATGAGCATTCAAAGTTATCACCTCGTACCATTGGTCCAGTGGAAATTGTGGAGAAGATCAACCCCAACGCCTATCGCCTTCGACTTCCTTCCCATATATGGACTTCTGATGTGTTTAATGTAAAGCATCTTTTGCCATACCATAGAGACAACGTGGGAGATAGTGCTACCGGTTCTGATTCGAGGGCGAATCCCATTTATCTCGGGGAGAATGATGACGTTTATGTGGAGGAACAGGCATTGGCATACATGGAACGGTTGGATGGTCGGCTTTCAAAGAAATTGATATAACTTTTGCGTTTGGTGTCCGTTTTGGGCCCATAACCCCATTTCGGAAAGGTAGCGAGCGTTTCAGATTGAACTTACAGTTTCGCTGTGATGTACGAGGGTTTTTGGGCATTTGAAATCGTTTAGTGTGTCAAAACAGCATTTTAAGTTTTTGTGTTATTTATTTTCAGCATTTGTTATTTCCATTTTGTAGCCCAGCCCATTTTGGGACTGTTGGCCCAGTAGGTTATCTTTTCTTTCATACTTAAGACGCTGCAAGACGCCTCTTAGGGTTTTCTTGGTTGTTCACGAAATAATAAAACTTTATTTCTGAATTCAATTTGTTTGGTTATTGTTTTCGTGTGTTTGTAGATTCAATCTACATCATTTTGGTATCAGAGCATGGTGCGTGGGAGAGGACGTGGTGGTCGTGGTGGCCGTGGTGGCCAGATTGATGAAGTTGCAGATCTGCGTAATCAAGTTGAGGCGTTAACAATTCGATTTGATCAATTCATGACGTGGGCGACAGAGGTTGTGCAGAACGGAACACTTCCTGCTCCTCCACGTCGTGCCCCAGTGAGAGATGGTGGAGGTGGATCTGAATCAGGGGAGAGGTCGGATGAGGAGACCTTGTCAGAGGCACGTGGCGATCGTGTTCAACATCCTCACGTACAACAGCAGGACGCGTTTCAGCGATGGGAATCCGGATTTAAGGTTGATATACCTGAATTTCACGGTGGAATTGAGGCAGATGAATTCCTCGATTGGCTGGCGGCAGTAGAGGTGATCTTGGATTACAAAGAAGTGCCCGACAATAAAAGGGTACCTTCGGTGGTGACCCGTCTGCGTGGTCGTGCTGCTGCGTGGTGGCAGCAACTGAAGCAAAATTGGATCCGTCAGGGTAAGGCGAAAATCCAGTCGTGGGAAAAAATGAAGAAACAGTTGAAGGCAGCGTTTCTTCCCTTTAATTATTCCAAGACTTTGTATCAGCGCTTACAGAATTTGGGACAAGGAAATCGATCTATAGATGCTAATTCCACAGAGTTTTACCAACTGATAGCGCGAAATGACGTGGGAGAATCAGAAGACCAGTTGGTAGCGTGCTATATTGGTGGACTACGATTGAATTTGCAAGACGTCCTGAATATGTTCTCGCCGGTATCTGTTTCTGAGGCTCACCAGCGAGCACTTCAGGCTGAAAATCAACAACAACGTCATTCTATAGTAGGCATTTCTGGTGGTCCATCTGGAGGTGGGGGTCGACAATTTGCCCCAAATCCCACATCTGGTCCGTCCCAATCCTTTACATCTGGGAGTCGGGGCATTGATCGGAACACTCGGCCAGTGGTTCCTCCAACCGCTAATCCGGGTGGCTGGGCTCCTCTTGGTGGACGAGGGCGTGGAAGTCAGTGTTTTGGTTGTGGTGGTTTTGGTCATTTGAGGAAGGACTGTCCATCTCATGGGCAGCCACGCCCAGGTTTGTTCATTGGAGGGACAACACAAGTCGATGTTAATGATCCTGTTCATGTGGAGAATGAAGAAAAAGAGGCTGAAATTATGCATACAGGTGACACGGGACCTCTTTTGGTGGTCCGACGGGCGTGCCTTACGCCTAAGAGGTCGTCTGAGGACCTGCAGTGAAACAATATTTTTCTATCTACGTGTACCATTGGAGGAAAGGTGTGTAGGTTCATCATTGATTCGGGCAGTTGCGAAAATGTGATATTTGAAGCGGCCGTGCAGAAGCTGCAGTTAAGCACCGAACCTCATCCTGCTCCCTATAGCCTAGCATTGTTGAGACGAGGTAATGAAATTCGTGTTACTAGCCGTGTGTTGGTATCTTTTTCTATTGGCAGTGTGTACCGTGATAGTGTTTGGTGTGATGTGGTGCCGATGGATGCGTGTCATTTGTTGTTGGGTCGTCCATGGCAGTTTGATAGGGATGTGTGCCATGAAGGGCGTCGAAATGCATATACATTCACCTTTCCGGATAAAAAGATTGTACTACTACCCTCCAAAGATACGCACTGTCTATCTTCGACAGGGGACAGTAGTAATCTACTTTCTCGATCTTTGTTTGTGCGTGAGATGCTGGCAGAAGGTGTTGTACTATTGTTAGTGGGAACTGAGGCGACAGGAGTGTCGACAGTTCCTATGGCAGTCGAGGGGACGAGACTTCACTCTAAAGCTGCCGCCTTGGTGTCTGAGTTTCATGATGTGTTTCCGGATGACCTTCCACAGGGTCTTCCGCCTTTGCGGGATATGCAACATCACATTGATTTGGTATTCGGCGCGTCATTGCCTAATCGCCCACATTATCGAATGAGCCCAGTGGAACATGAGGAGTTGAGGAGACAAGTAGAGGAATTGGTGCAGAAGGGGTACATCAGAGAGAGTCTCAGCCCGTGTGCAGTCCCCGCACTCCTAGTGCCAAAAAAAGATGGGAGTTATCGGATGTGTATAGATAGCAGGGCCATCAACAAAATAACAGTTCGTTATCGCTTTTCAATACCGAGGTTAGATGACTTGCTTGATCAGTTGGCCAGCGCAACTGTGTTTACCAAACTGGACTTGAAAAGTGGTTACCATCAGATAAAAGTTCGTCCTGGTGATGAGTGGAAGACAGTATTTAAGACACGAGAGGGATTATTTGAGTGGCTAGTTATGCCGTTTGGACTATCCAATGCACCAAGCACGTTTATGCGGGTGATGAACCAAGCACTTCGACCGTTTATTAGTAAGTGCGTTGTTGTATACTTCAATGACATATTGGTGTACAGTGGGTCAGAGGAGTCTCATGGTGTGCATCTAAGGGAAGTTCTTACTGTTTTACGCAAGGAGAAGTTCTTTGCAGCCAATAAGAAGTGCGTGTTCTATACCGATAGTGTTTTGTTTTTGGGGTATGTTGTGTCAGCCGGTGGGGTAACGGTGGATGCAGTTAAGGTTGATGCGATTCGGCAATGGCCGCGTCCACAGTCAATATCTGATGTGCGGAATTTCCACGGTTGAACGTCGTTTTATCGACGATTTATATAGCACTCTAGCACCATCATGTCTCCCATTACTGATTGCATGAAGGAGAGTAAGTTTCAGTGGACACCCGAGGCTGAGAAAGCGTTTTTGATCATTAAGGAGCGTCTGACTTCAGCCCCGATACTTACGTTGCCTGATTTCACAAAACCTTTT